AAGACTGTAGATTTAATCAGTTGACGAATATTTATTTTACCATCACATCCAAATACAAAACCACTGTGCTTTATTTGCAACGAGAGCATTGTCATGGTTGATTTAAAAAATAAAAACACTTGGTCTATTATTTAGATTTAACATACAATAAAAAAACAACTTGAAAGGACTTGAAATTCCAAGTTTCAGACTTGAGACTTGCAAAACACTGACTTGTCCCACCTTTGCATTGTAATAATACTGTCATCTATCGCTGACAGTATTACCTGTTTGTGAATTTTGTTTAAAGTAAATTTTCAGAAAATGTAGAAAGTTGAGAGCACTGACTTTACAACATGAACCATTCTGCATGTTTGTCTGTTTACAGGTGGTTATAAAGTAATTGGTGTGTCTCAGCCAATCAAAGCTGCTCCTGGTGATGATGTCGTCTTGCCATGTTGGGTCAGTCCAATTTGGGATGCGACAAAAAAGACAGTGGAGTGGTCCAGACTGGACCAACGGCAGGACTCAACCAAAAAGTACGTGTTGGTGTACAGGGCCTTGAAGCTGGACAGGAGCCTGATGATGGAGTCGTACATCGGGAAGGCGTCTCTGATCCCCGAGGCCCTGAGATCTGGAAACGTAACCCTGAAACTCACCAATGTGACCGTTGACGACAGCGGGCGGTATAAATGTTTTCTCCCAAGTCTGAAGACACATGCAGTAATTCAACTCTTGGGTGAATAAATGATGTTATCCTTTCTTTCTTTCAAATGGAAAACGCTTCTGACACAAAATTTTCCAAAACAGTCTCAGATTCACCAAAGACTGGAAACCTGTCAAAGCCAAAGGACAGGATTAACATAGAGTCCACAGGTAAAGTGTGCAATATCACACCCTCATTGTGGAAAGAGGCGTCTTTAATTATGTGTTCACCATCATTTAACCTTTCTTCTGCTTTCAGATGAACGGGATTGGTGGAATGTTCTCTGGGCTCCTCTAATATTCATTATCATCGTTTCTTCCCTCTTCATTAAAAAAAGTAAGTCAGACAGCAGTAAAACACGTTGCTTTTTTCTTTTTTTGACTGATTAGACGGGGCTCTGCTGGGCTGAAAAATAAAACGTCTTTCACAGACAAGAGGAACATGCTCCTCCACATGTTTGTGTTTTGGAAACTGTTTAGCTGTGTTGGGTTCCTGTAAACAGGACTAATTTCTGAGTGCTTAATAAAGCATAAATTTGTGTTTAATTTAGCTCTGGGACAACTGTGTTAATAGAATCCAACTGTCAGAGTTTCCTGCAGTCAGTAGTGAACCATCAAATGTTCACATCAATGCAACTCTGACCTGAACATCCTTTAAAGTTCTGAGCTAGAAGTCATAATGTTATTATGAGGCCACAATACATCTTCAAAACCTTGAGCCACAGCCATGAAACAATACAAACCTGTTTTATTAAAATGCTGATATGCAGCACCGTAAACGGCCTGTTTTATTGGATTTTTATATGATTAAATTAGTTTTACGACTAACTTAACTAAAGTTAGTTCAGTCAGGACGTAGCTCTAATAAAGGCTGCTATCTTTATTAGCAGCATCTTATAGCTGCTAATAAAGATAGCAGCCATAATAGTTAGCACCACAATAGTTAGCATATGCTAACACCACAGATTTTACACCTTACATCTCCAGGACACGCCCCTCTGGTGCGACGTCAACAAATACATAATTGATTAATCTCTTAACAAAATGAATGTCTAAAATGATATGTTGAAATACACAGATTAAAGCATTAAAAAAAATATTCAGTGGTCAATTTATTGAACTTATAATTCATGTTGGAAAAAGAATCACATTTCCTGTTTATTTGTCCTTTATGATAAAAGGTGGAATGTATGTTAAAATGGATGAACTGCAGCTGTGATTCAAGGTTACCTGTCCTCTTTCTTCTCCTGACACTTTCTCGTTAGACGTCAGACTTTGTGGAGGTCTTGAAACCTCAGGATGAGCCTCATTTACCTCTGGAGATCCAAAAAAACAAACAAAGAACCGAGCCAACACTGGACTTTCTTCTATCCCATCTTGTCCCTCTATTTGTCATTTTCACCTGCTGGCGTCAAACAACATCCAGGTGATTTTTGACTTTACAGACACCAAAATCAACCGACTTCTACAGCACAGAGTCCCAACAGTCTCCCTCTAATGCATCTGTGAACAATTTAGTCAATTTACTGTCATTTATTGTGTTTAATATTTTTTAAAGTTAAGTGATTTCTTTCAGAAACTAGTGTTATTTTATTAATCTTATTATTTTTTGTATATTTCATATGGAGAGAAGTTGATCAGAGATCAGTTATTTTTTAAAGCTATTTTTATAATTAATATTAATGTGAGGTAAATGTTTACAGAACTAATCTGTTGCATTTTTCTCATTTACATTCTTAGATCAGCGTCTCTATCTAAAGGTGTTTTCATTTTTAAAAAGTTCACATTTTAAAAATAACTTCAAGATTCTATTAAAAAATTATACATTTAAAAGGTACAGAATCTTGTTCAAGTTGGTCTTTTAAACACTTTGAAAATATTTCTGTTCAGTGTGAAGTATAGACTTACTGTGTAATTATAAAGTTGTTTATGCCTCAAACTTGGATATTGATGCATCACAATGATTCATCTTTGTTTACTTACTATTTTTTTTACAAAAATAATGAGAAATAAATACCTGAATGTTTATACATATGAATTAAGTGCTTAAACATTCATGTTTTTTCTGCTTTTATGTTGAAGTTCTTGATTTTTTTCTTCAGATTATTTTTACTTTTTCTGAACTAACTTAAAACCCAGAGATGCTTCAAAGGGGAGAAAAAAGTCAACCTTCAATTATCAAACATTTATTTTATGTTGCCTGAAAATGTTACATTCACTGTATTTTCTATAGTTGCATGTCTGAATGCATCACATTGGATATGAAGGTATGAAACATTGTTTTAACATTTTCTAATATGTTCTGCTGACACTTAAGAGAAAACTGGAAATAAAGCAAAACATTTGATTTGTGCATCAAATGTGTTTATCATACTTTTTACAATCTCACATTAAGAGGCAGAATAAATGGCAGAAAATGCAGCAGGAATAGAAAGCATATTAACTTTACTTTCTAATAGTTGTAAAAAAAAGTTTTGTAATATGAACATACATTTTTAATAGAGATATGCCGATCAGGTTTTTTCCTGCCGATACACCGATACCGATCACCGATACCGATCA